CGGGGAACAATCCAGGATGACTCTGCTCCATTCCACAGGTTTATAATATTCATGCACTCTATGCAGTAGATATGAAATAAATAGGAAATTTCACTCTAGGTGTATTGAAAAGACATCTTAAGTTTTATTTCATTGTTTCAGGTGAAGGAATATCTTTAAAGGGAGATGATCGAGTCACTACACTAGTCAGGTACCAGCTCTCAATCCTACCAGAAACTGCTGGGAGGTGATAGGTAACAAAGTGCAAGAAAAGAAATTGAGAAGCACCTTGGAATTGCAGGAAGCCTTAATCTGCACGTGACATCATTAACTCATCCCTGCTTACATTCAGTCTCTCGTGCACTCTATGCCACAGCAACGTCAAGCAGTTATCAAGGCCAGGGGGGGCACTACCAAATATAAAACAAGAAACAGACTCTGTGACCACTATTTGTAAATTACATTAGTGATGGTATCTTTAAATCAAGGTTTTCTTACTTGTAGAACATGCCACAGCAATGTCAAGCAGTTATCAAGGCCAGGGGGGGGCACTACCAAATATAAAACAAGAAACAGACTCTGTGACCACTATTTGTAAATTACACTAGTGATGGTATCTTTAAATCAAGGTTTTCTTATTTGTTGATCATCAGCTGTAATAGGTTTGTCGTGCTTGGTTTGTTAATAAAGATGCGTATATGAGTGAGCTTACACAACACAATGTCTGTAACCGTTTCCACTAGTTCTGATACTTCGACGACGCACAATCTCGTTAAAACTTACTGGAACCAATAAAATTATGAAGAAAATTGGGGGATGCAGTAATTTTTTCCATCACTGTAATATATATTGACTGTGGGAGGGATCACTGTTACCCCCAGATATTTTCAATCTCATAATCAATTACTACTACCTGAAATTTCCAAAATTTTATTGAGGCATTGTTTGGAAAAAAAAAAACCTTTTTGATGTAGAGTTTAAACTTTTTTTTATCAGAAAGTTACATTTTATATAACCAACCAGTTCCCAGATGTTTGGTATTTGTCAGCTTATGTATTTTGATACTTTATTTTTCCACTTGCAGTACTTGTTTCTTCTGGTTACAAAACATAAGAAAACACGGCAAGTACCTGAGACCTCACTTTCAAAATGTCATCACCATTACCTTTGTCATGTCTTGTTTACTAATTAATTGTTTAGGCCACATGCTCTTTTGATATTTAGGTGAACTGCTGACTGACAGAAAAAATACAAATTAAAAGACTGTCAGCATATTAGCACTCTGAGATCACATAATAAGTGAGCTAACTCGTGAGTTTAATATTTAGGAATTTTCAAAGTTTATTCTGGGACTTGTGGCAATGGCAGTAGTGAAGTTATTTACAGAAAGCAAGTAAACTCTTAGAATAAATAAGACTTTATTGGAATATCCAAGTGCATATAAAGTCACCAGAACCTTGAAGTTCAGATTATTTACTCATGGGAATAGGTAGATCCAGCTTGTTTCGTATTAAATACACTATTATATATTAATGTTTGAAATGTGCATATAGAAACATTAATAAATAAAACCACAATTTTTACAGAGATCTTTGGTTTACGATACCACACAGAGATTCTGGAGCTTTGTAAACATGACAGTTTGTGTACTATAGAACAGTAGTAATACCAAAATGTGAAGTTATAGTGTTTACTTTTAAACTGAGAAGGTTTTTTTATGTTTACAGTATTGTATTTAGCAATAAAAGTGGCCCCAGCGAGTGGTTACTGAGTGTGAACCTTTAATAAATAGGTTTTGAATGTGAACTTTTTTCAGAAAAAATAGCAGTGAGGTTGGGAAATTTAAAAATACCATTCCTTTTAGCAGTAATAACGTAGAACATTTCTGCAAGTTGTCCTTTATAACTACATGTAGAAATATCCTTATAGCAAAGTGTCTGAACAAGTAGCTTGTTCAATTGACTGTTAATGACATAGTAGATTGGATTTCTGATTAGCTTTCTGTAAAGTTAAATGCATAATTCAGTCATTATTAAATAATATAGGTTTGTAAATTAGGTTTTCTTTGATTTAAAGCCTAACGACTATTGTTTATTTCCGCACCGTATGAAGTTGGTCCTTGCCACATTAAATGTCAGTCATTATAAAAAATTTGTTTGTTAAAAAAAAACCCACTTTTCATCAGTTTGGTCTTGTATTTTTCCAAGCTTTTTTTAAACTATCCTTAGTATTGATTGCTACAACTGTTCTTTTCGACACACATTAAAACAAGATTTCTTTTTATAAAATCCAGCTATGAGCCTGAGCTTCACCCAGGTGTTACTTACAAAATCAAAGACATCAAAGCAACCATGAAGATTTTCTCAACAGGAAGCATTACCATCACAGGTACTGAACTTTATATCTAACATTGTCTTTTATATTACTTTATTTTAACAGTTGTTAGATTATCATTACCATTACAGGTATGTAATTTAACTCTCAAACTTGTCAGTGTGATGCATACCTTGTGTGGTTTCTTTTATTGTATTGCAAAAACAAAAAAGCACCTATTGAAGGAAATAATTTGAAACATTAGATAAACTGTCTACAGATTGTATAGCTTCTACAAAATAAAATGTATTTAATATGTGATATTTTTATGAGCTTCAAAATTTCATTATGCTTCTTTCTTTTTTAAAAGCAATTAAAAATGCTTAACTTTCTTCTAGACTTCAATTCCTGACTTTTTCATTCTTGTAAACTTTCATACAAAATTTTTATTATATAAAACTAAATTTTATCTTTGTTCTGATCCTGAAATCACTGCATGCACTTTCACTGAGTTTCTGACCAAAGGCATAGAATAGAAAGTAACTTATTTTACAATACCAAAATAAACATTTGACATTTTCAAAATTATATATATAAAATTAGCTAACTAGACCTTTTTATTCAGTGAATTATAACTCCAAAGTTGTTGTTTTATTAAATGAGTTCTGTAATATTAACCTCAAGACATTTGGGTGCTGGAAGGTTAGTGTGTAACATTCGCTTTCATGTGGTTTTATTTTGTTAAACTAGTATTACTATTACACTCATAAGTTTTGTGTAACGTTCTTTTATTAGTTTATTAATGTCATAGATCAATGTATGTGGGAAATAATTTTTTTCCAGAATTTTTTTTTTTATTGTTAACCATCTCCTCGTTTATGTAAAGAGCATTTTGGTAAAACCTATAAAGGTATTATTTATTAATTAATCAGAACTTTCTTAAGTGAATAAACCGAGTAGAAAAATTACCTACAGCTTTGCATTTATTACATGAATAGATGATTATTTCTGGATATGTTCAATTCTGCTAATTATCAGAATATTAATGAATTTTCTTTTATTAGGGGAATTATTTAAATACGTTAAACCCATTGGATGTAAATGTGACGTCAACAGTATTATAAGTGAATAAACCGAGTAGAAAAATTACCTACAGCTTTGCATTTATTAGGGGAATTATTTAAATACGTTAAACCCATTGGATGTAAATGTGACATCAACAGTATTATTTTGGCTTCTTTCAAAATAGGTTTATGTCACTAAACTAACAATTCTTATATGGTTAGCACTTCTACTGCTACACATTTTTTATTTTTTTATGTACGACCAAAAGGAAAAATACACATTGAGTCTAGATTTCATAACTGCTCAACTTACAAGTACCATTTGTATGGAGGTAGGATTGAAGAAATGATTATGTAAGTTATTGGCTGGAAAATTCTTTTTGCTTCATTGGCTATGTTGATAACTATACAAGCAACACATCACTGTGATGTGTTGCTTGTTTTGGTCACGTTTCTCCAATTTCTTAATTAACAGCCAGTACAAGATTCTTGTATCGATTAAGCCTAGCTGCATTAAATGCATTTTGAAATCAGTTGTACATCTTACAATTGAATTCAAATAGGTTAATTAGTTAAAAGTATGGACAACAATAAGCCAAGCACAGTAAATTCATGTAGTAGTTGCTTAGCAGAGTGACGTAGTGAAACTTGGTATGTAACTACTCGTGTAGTAGTTGCTTAGCAGAGTGAAGTAGTGAAACTTGGTATGTAACTACTCATGTAGTAGTTGCTTAGCAGAGTGAAGTAGTGAAACTTGGTATGTAACTACTCATGTAGTAGTTGCTT